CCTTGTGAGCTATTGGTGGAGCTGGCAACAGAGCCTGGAAATCCTCACTGAATTTACTGGGTTACTAATCAATGTACTGTGAGTATATAAGGCAGCATGTTACCCAGCTGCTTGATTCGTACAAATGACTGGCTGAATCTAGTGAGAAAAACTGGTAGAAGTCAGATGACAGCATATGTTAGAAGCATGACTTTTAAAAAAGTTTTTCTTCAGCATATGCTAGACACTATAGTTTTTAGAAATAGTCGTGTTTTGCACAGACTGCTTGCAGGAAAAGAAAATCTTACTACATTGTCTCAGGTAGAATCAGGGTTGATGCACAGCCAGTGTAACTTAACAGTTAAAGCAGGTAAGTACAGTTACCAAACAAGGCAGATGAGGCCACCGAGATGATTAGAGGGATGGAACACTTCTCCTGTGATGAAAGGCTGAGAGGACTGAGTTTGTTCAGCCCGGGTGACCTAATTGTGGCCTTCCAGTATCTGGAGGGAGCCTACCAGAAGTATGGAGAGCAACTATTTACAGGAACATGTAGTGACCGAACAGGGGGGGAATGGCTTCACACTGAAGGAGGGCAGGTTTAAATTAGATATTAGGCAAAAATTCCTTACTGTGATGGTGGGCACAAGCTGCCCAGAGAGGTTGTGGGAGCCCCATCCTTGGTAGCATTCAAGGCCAGGCTGGATGGGGCTCCGAGCAACCTGTTCTAGTGAAAGGTGTCCCTGTCCACAGCAGAAAGGTTGGAAGTAAATGATCTCTAAGGTCCTTTTCAACCCAAACCGTTCTATGATTCTATGAACTGAATGACTAATCAGTGTTGTTCTTTTTCTCTTAGAGATTGCAAGTTCCTTGGCTCAAAACCTTCATTTTAATACGTTTGGAGGAAGCCCTTTGGCCTGCGTAGTTGGAGCTGCAGTTCTTGATGTAGGGAGAACATTATATAAATTTGTATATTCCCCACTTTTTCTTCTAGCAAAAGATGAAAAATGTTTATATGTATTTTTACCAAAAAGTTCTATGTGGGCAACTTTTTTAATAGTTGTAAAAGTGCTTAAACACTAGTTAGCCTTAACTAACTCTCTCACAGGACTACACAAATCCTCAGCAAAAGCAAATCTGTTCCCTGGCACATGCGCTTAAGAAAACTGTTTTAACTCAACAGTTTTTACGTTATGCCTAAAAAACCTTAACAACTGGATAGTTAAAAATATCTAAAGTCAGAATTCCTTTTGGAAAAAAATTACATCATGAAAAAGACAACAGAAAAAATTGCAACGTATTTCACTTCTTATCCAGTAGAAAATCACTCAGTGGGTAGTAGGTCACTATTTAATTTCTCTTGATTGTGTACAGACCATTTGTTCCTGAATCTTACTTCATTACAGCAGATACTGTTTCTATTCATGTTACTTTCCTGAGTGGTATGTGGAGGTTTTAAGCTATTTTATAAGATGGATGATTGTATAAATAAAAAGATTTTGAAAAAACAGTTCACAAATAAGGAAGAACCCATGTTTTGGGTTTTTTTGACTCTGAAGTAACTTGGAGCCTGGCTCTGAAACGATTCCAGGGAGATTGTTAGTCAGAAATAATAAAATACAGTTGAAAGAAAAAAAAAACAAGAAAAGGAGAAACAATCACTTTATCTTCTGTATTTTTTGGGGGGGAGGGTGCAGGTTATGTGAATTTTCTCAATGCAGATACTGAGTTCATAAAATGGTTTGTGTGTAAGTGCTGATATGTGCCTGCACATCAGAACTTTGATTAAATAATAATCCTTCTGGTCAGGTATTTTCCAGTTATGAATACATGTGAGAAAGAATTACTTGATTAAACCTAAGTAATAAGTAAAATGTAAAAAATGGCATAGAAACATTGACATATTATGTTCAATTGTATTCTGATGCCATTAGAGGATTGTAAGAGAAGGAAAATGTAAGCACTAAAGTAGTGAAGGAACATAGTCTGCAAGCGAGATAAGTGCAGTGTCATCAAGTTAAATGGGGATTAACTGATCCCATGGTGGAAGTGTTTCCTGGAACACGGTCATGGTATATCATTTTATCCAGGCTATTGAAGAAGATGGTCTACAAAAAAACAGTCAGGATGTGGGAACACACATGCTACTGGAGTTGGCTAAACTACGGGATGAATTTGAGGTCATTGGAGATGTCCGTGGCAAGGGACTTATGATTGGAGTAGAAATGGTGACAGATAAGGTTAGTGACTTTGTGCCTTTTCATTTGTCGTGCCATTGACACTTTCATCACATTTTGTTTCAGTTGAAATAATAGAAAGATTTTCTATTAAAAAGCAGCCAGTGAAGTGAGAAAACATTGCTCTTGCAAAAAATGAGCCAGAACATTCCAGCATTTCAGCTATTTCACAAGCTTCGAGTAAACAGTGATGTGTTCCTTAATTGCATAAACTCATCTTCAAAAGCAGATAAATTATGCAGCTGACATTTTCAGCCAGAAATGGGAGTGGGATTTATTGGATGTATATTCCAAGAAAGAATGTATATTCCAAAAATATACATCTTTTTTGTGGAAGTAATTTTGAATATCTAAGTGAAGTTTAGTGTTTGCTTTCCTCAGGACAGTCGCCGCCCTCTTCCAGCTGAAGAAATCGGTCAGATCTGGGAGGACTGTAAAGACATGGGAGTTCTGATCGGCAGAGGAGGGCTCTACAGTCAGGTACTGAATCTCTGGTTATGAATAAAGCTTATTTTCTGTCCTTCTGCAGTACATCCTTGTTTCCCTCAAGCTAAATTAACTTCAGTTTAGTAAATAAACTAGGAAATGTATACTCTTAGGAACTATCTCAGATTGACTTATTTTTAAATCAGGCAGGAGCTATTTGATTCTTTTTAAGTATGCTGAACCAGCTCTAGCCTTGGAGTTTTCCTTTGGAGGAACAACTTCCCCCAGAAAACCAAGGCACTACAGTAAATTAGAACCAGCAATATTCAGGCTAAGTTTTTGCTATCACCTGACCTATCCGTACAAAACAAGGTTGTTTTTGCTAGTTCTTTCAGTCTGAAGAGCTGGTAACATTGTACTTGTTTGGTAATTAAAAATATCATGTTCTTGATAGCAAGGTCAGCAACACAGCACAAGAGAATTGCATGTGAACAGGCATCAACCCACACCACTGAGGATGCATCATGCTGTACCCAGGACACAGTGTCACCTGCTTCCTACAGCACCAGCGTTAATAGCAGAGAATTGCCCCAGGGCTGGTAGGGTCGGTGAAGTTCTCTGACACCAAGGAAGCAGCTTCTGTGTGAAATAGGTGGAGGGTGGCTGAAATAACACTGCATCTGTCACCTCCTTGGTTCTTCATCACAGACCAGAACACAGGTAGCAGGCTGAAGCTCAGTGTAGTGAAGCCAGATTCTGTATGACTAGAGGGCTATCTATCTGTGAGTGTTTACTTCAGTGGGGGCTGTGGGTGGGACAGACCATTATTCCACTCTTGCTGTCTTGTGATATGATGACAGAAAAATTTAAATTGAAAGTTTAAGATTCTTATGGGAGTTAAATACTCTTGGAAACATAGTTCAAACATTTGGATTAAAGAGTTCTTGCCAAGTTTAGCTGTCATATATCCCTTCCTGATCATCATGCATTCTAGCTCTAGCATCCTAACTCAAAGATATCATTTAGTGATTCTTTCATACTGCATTCCCTTAAAAGCCTTTTTAAAAAGCCTATAATAAAACAGCCGATCAGCTGACACAATGCAAGAGGCTGCCACTCTCAGCAGATATCACTGTTTCTTCAGGCAAAGCTGCCAGAAAGGAAGATACATTTATGTCTCTTTCTCAGTACATCTGAGATTTTACACTAGCTCTGTCTGAAACAACGGAGCTGCAGACAACCTGTTCTACTCACAGGTCTTTTGTGGAGACAGTTTGCTTTGTTGCAAGAGTGGAGTGGGAAGTCAGGTGCAGCTGGATGCAGTCAAGTCCCAAATTGCCCCACTTCAGAGTGCATTTATCATAAGCCTCAGTCCCTGCTCTGTTCTGTATTTTCCACACTTTTTTTTTTGGGGGGGGGAGAAGGGAGTGCTGACCTAGATGGGCTGCTGGAAACTGTATTCTTCCACAGAGTTTTAAGGATTTCCTTTTATTTTCTCTTTCCTCAGACATTTAGAATTAAACCTCCTATGTGCATTACTAAAAAGGATGTCGACTTTGCTGTGGATGTATTTCATACAGCTTTACAGAGACACATGGAAAGAGCAGCTGCAAAATAGACTTGATTTGTTGCCTTACATGAGATGCGCAACCCCTGACACTTGCCACCCAGACTGGGCATTAATCTACAGTGGAAAAGAAAATAGTAGTCTGATGATTAAATGCTTGATCAGTATCATAAGATCCAGTGATAATAAAGAATATGTTCTAATCTGTTTTGTAAACACACAGGTCAGTTCCGTAGTGGTGGTTTGTATTAGCTGTACTACTATTTTGGCGTTACCAAAAAAACCCTGACTAGACTAACTGGTATCAGATGAAGAGGCAGACATGTATTCTTCTTTTGTCTGTAATTGGTAATTTTTAGAAAGAGTGACAGGAAAATAATTAACTTCTCTGGGGAAGCATACTGCTTGGACTCTAGCATCTGTAGTGCCCTTGGAGGTGGCACCAGCACTGCAGTTGAGTGCCTGCTGCTGCCCTGGCCACTTGCCCTGTCCCACTGCAGTCACTGCCAGCTCAGAAACGTGTCTTCCCAGGAGTGCCACAGGCTCCCACGTGGTTGGTTGTTGGTGTGTGGAGCTTCTAAGACCAGTGCTGGGCCATGCCCAACTGCCTTTCACAGCTGCTGCCTCACCACTGCTACCCAAAACTTGCTGTTTATGCTCAAAATATACAAACATTTTCAAAATACACAAATGATATTTCTTTATTTATTTAAATTTTTGTTTAAATTACATATAACCACAGCCAATCTCTGGCTGAGAACCACCCTGAGCAAAGCCTAACTGGAAGTTTCAGACTTTAAACTGTTTACCCTGACTACAAGGTTACACTGTAATTAGAGCATGGAAAAAGAAGTTTGCAGAGTTAAAACATTTCTAATTACAGTAATGATTTTTATCATGGGGATTAGAAATCCAGTTATCACCCTCTTCAAAATATGCTTTTCTTTTCCTCCTACTGCTCTTGGGATTGTACAGCACACCCATTAATCATTTACCAAAGATGCAAACTCTGGCTGGTGAAACAAGATGCTGTTTTCTTTCCTACATACTCACTGTTTTTAATGCTTCAGTACACTGCTTTTTCAGCTTCCAATTTAAAAAAAAGCATTGTGGACAGTCAGCAAGAACTGTACATTTATCACTTCACTTTCATTCAAATTTAACATTTGAATAATTCCTTGACCCAAGAAAGTACCATGTCCACTTGCAGGGAGCAGAGTATTCTGGTGGTTTTTGTAATGAATTGAAACTTTAGAGGAACTAACTTAAGATTTGTGCCTCTGGGAAATGTCATTCTGTGGGTTTCCTAAAAAACATCCTACAGCCCTTGCTGATCACCTCCTTCTCCAACTGCATTGAAAACAATCCAATTCCACTCCAGAATCAGGTGTTGGTTATCCCATCTTTTGCTTTAGTACTACTCAAGATTAGGTAGATTATACATTTAAACAGCAGTTCAATGCCTTTCATTAGAACCAGAACAAATTAATTTATTCATGTCACTCATTTATTTCTCCCTCACTTATTCCAGCAAGCCTCTTCCACTAGATGTTCCCCCCCCCAACACCTGACATGGAGGTAGATGTACAAAACAAATAGGAACTGTCAAAACCGATTAAACATCTTTGTCATCTTACTGTTTCCCTTCTGTCTGCTGCTTAATGTAATTAAGTGATTTGGGGTTGGCAGAAAAGCCTGTGTTTCTCTGTGTCTCTGTGATGTTTCATCTTTGATAGACAAAGAAGCACAGGCCCTGCAGTTGGCTACACTCACCCTGAGCTAAGCCCTCTCAAAAGAAAAGCAGCAACACAAGTGTCAATATCTCCTCTGTGTGAGTACTTCATCCATGCAGATTTCTACAGGAACACAAGGTGGTTAGCTTTGAGTCACTAATTCCCCCTACACAGTGTGAAAGCTGCTGCAATAGTGAAGACATTAGACCAGGTGGCTCACTGGAAGGATCCCCTGCCCAGGCTGTGCCACCAAACCATTCAATGACTGATTAAACCAAAAGAAAGGACTCATTCCTTCACCAGATAGTATTCCTCTTGCTGCAGCTTCTTTTCTTTTTTTCCAGAAGTAGTACTTGCCTTCTTTGTTTAACTCCAAACACAGGCAATGTGCGTGTTTAGTTCTGGGAGAGTTCTAATGTACAATTCTGAAGACTGTCAGTATAGCAAAGTTCTATTTGTTTTTACGTTTCTCTTTTTTGATTCTGGTGTTTAAACATCTATTTACATCTGGTGTGGTTGTTGGTCTTGCGTGTCCTGTGGCTTTTAGGTGTTCAAACAATTTATTTCGGGATGAAAATGCAGAGCTGCATGTTACACAGTGGATACAAACTTCATTCTACAAGGAGGAAAACAACAGAATGCTTCAGGTTCATATGGAATATGTAGTAAGTGTAATACACCCATTTGTCCTACGCAGTTCGCTTAGACAATGAAATGTGAATAAGCTGTTTGTTTCTATCATAAATATTCCATTACTGATTAACAATAAAAGATTTTTTTCAAACAGTTGCAAGTATAATGTCTAGAAAAGAGCACTAAGTATAAACAAGAGCAACACTGAAAGCCTTGCAAATCTAATTTCAAGGTAAAGAATACTTTTGATCTCACCTGACTATACACACAATACTTTAGGCTCTGAGATGTAGTGAATTTACTAAATCTTAGCTGTAGTTACTACAAAATTTTGCTCTCTCTGGGAAGAGAAATCAATACTGGTAAAGATGGAAATAATACTGCCTGTCCCCTGCCTGGTAACAACAGCTCTGTCTTCACAATCAAACAAGCAACTTTGTTTGTAGTAATATCATCACCACCTTTTACCTCTCCTATGAAGAGAGGCTGAGAGAGCTGCAGCTGTTCAGCCTGGAGAACAGAAGGCTCCAGGGAGACCTCATTCCAGCCTTGCAGTGTCTTAAGGGGGCTTATAAAAGGAGGACAGGGGACGTCTTGTATGGGCAGGGAATGACAGGGCAAGGGGCAATGATTTTAAACTGAAAGAGAGCAAGTTTAGCTTAGATATTAGGAAGAAATCCTTTACTGAGGGTGGTGAGGTGCTGGCACAGGTTGCCCAGAGAAGTTTTGGATGCCCCAGCACAGGAAGTGTGCAAGGCCAGTCTGGATGGAGTCCTGAGCAACCTGGTCCACTGGAAGGTGCCCCTGCCTGTAGCAATGGGGTTGGAACTAGATGGTCTTTAAGGCTCCTTGCAACCTTAACAATTTTATGATTCTATTTTAAACAGTGTAAGTAATTTCACATACCGTTGTTGGATCCCCTGAAGTTGCCTTAGCAGACTTTTTTGCATTCTTGGCTTTTTTCCCTTTAGGCTTAGTGCTGCTAATTGACAAAGGAAAACCAAGATCAGTGCACAGGAACATTCAGCACTTAAGAGCTTCTGATATTTTTCAGTTATCAATGTCTCTGGTGCTTTCCCCTGTTCTTCCTCCACATAGCATGATGCAAGTGCATCCATGAAAAAAAAGCTAATTTAATTTATAGGATCAACTGTTGATCACAGGATGTCAAACCAGCTTCTGGTGAGTGATGTGCAGGGACCTATTGTCCACTACAGACCACTTCCAAAGCAGGTCCTACACTATTTATCTAGTATCACATTTGTCCAACCCCAATCTAGGGAGTAGCCCCTAGAGTTCACATTGGTAAGTAAATCTAGATTTGTTTGACAGTAGAATGACACAGTGACTGCAATGCTGCAAGACAGCACACCTTTTTGCTTCACTTTTTGTTTCATTCTCTTGGCTGACATCATCTGTAGCGCTTGCATCCTCTGACACAGCACATCTTTGGCCATCATTTACCAACTCCTCTGCTGAGCCACTGTCCTTCTCCACACGGGGCTCCTCCTTTTGTTCAACTGCTTCTTCATCAGCGCTTTGATCAAAAGACTCCTCATAACTCTATTCAAACAGAAAAAATGCAAGTTAAATAATTTCAGTTCATTAGTGACTATGTTTATAGTATTATAACTTCCATAACTTTAGAAACACTGACAGCCTCTTCCACATAGCCAAAATCGTATTAGACTCAATGCATGCAGTTTGGCAAAATATGAACCCCCGAGCATGTCTGAAGCAAAACAGGAAAGCTCTCAAATGCAGGATAACAAATTTGACCAAATGCTACATTAATGCAACTCTATCCCCTCTAGTGAGAGTCTGGGCTACGTGAAAAAAAATTGGCTAATCTACTGTCAGGAAAAGAAGACAGAAACCACAGCAATTCCCTTTACTCCATATCACCTGGCAGAGGATGAAAGTCAGGATCTCTCAGCACAAGATTCCAGCTCACACTATGCAAGAGTGGCACCTACTGTCCAGGCTGCAGCAGGCCTCATGCCCAGACTGATGGAACAGAGCCACACAATGCCTATATGCCACCCACGCAGTGAGAACAGACTTTCTGATCTCAAACAGAGGAGGAGGGAGTTAACAGGAGCCTAATGGCCTGCATGGAAACAGCAAGGGCAAGCCAATACTGACTTGGACTGTACAGTACCAGTGAAAGTGAAGCCAGAAAACTTCAGCTGCTTGAAATTCTCAGGAAGTTTCTTAATAACAAGAAATAATGATAGAGTGGGAGACAGGAGATAAGGTGAACAGAGAACAGGAGACTAGAGGGATTAGGCTAGAGGAAGACAGAAGATGATCCTGGGAAAGGCTGGAAGAGGCAAGGCCTGGTACAGATAGCTCACTGGGACAAGGCTATGACTGAGGATTAAGTAGAGAAGAGGTAAGACTCACAAGGGATAAACCCCATGTTTTTTTAGAGTGTGCTCTCTGTGGCACTCCTGCCACTCGAGCCTAAGCCTGAAACAGTCTGCAGCTCATGAATTTCACCTGCTGCCATCATACCATGCACAGACTCAGATCCTGGAGTACAACAGACTGGTGTTACTTGTGCTGGCAGTCGAAGTGAAAGATGGAATAGATGTGTTCACTCCAACAGACACAGTGTCAGTAAGATGCCAATACAGTGTTAGTTTTTTCACCACCCCTAAATTAGAGACTAACAAACAATATGTTATACCAGCTCCTACAACTAAAGCAAAAAATGACCACTGCACAACTAAGCTGTTAATGCACTAAGGCCACTGCTGGTCTTTCTGATCAGTTCCTTGCATTCACCCTATCTGCCTGTTCCATCTGTTCTCCTTACACTTCAGACTAGTCTTTTTAGAGCCAGCACCACATACGAGCATCTACACAGACAGAACAAAGTGAAGTCTATGAGATATTTTATGCTAATTATGATCATAGTAAGTGTAATAAAAAGTTCTGTGCAGTTTCAAGTTCTCCTATTTTTCAGGACAAAAGGAAGTTAGGTTAGGAAATAACAAAACCAGGTTGTAAAGTTCCCTGAGTATCATTATATGACTACATACCTTCAATGTTTTCTGTTTCTTTCTCTGCTTCTTTGAGAGTCTGTAAAGATACGAATTTAAAATTACCTCTTTTCATAAAAAGCCCCAAAACTAGTAGAATTTCTAATAAGGTACTAAGCTTTATTTTTCCCTCATCCTCTTAACATTAAATTAGTAATGTAGCAGCCACAAACCGAAAGTAACTCATGCCTGAAATTAAAACAATAGTTGTCCTAAACCACTCACTGCATTTAGAAAACATTTATTCTGCTCAGACTGTACCTGAAGATACTGAGTGAGATAGTTGGGATTATGCTCTGGCTGTTCAAAAAAATGCAGTTGTGCAACTCACTTCAACTGTGCCTGTAAGCATACTCATTTGCTACGTATGCCAGCAATCAACTGACAAAAAGTACCAAATCAGTAAGTGCTGGCTCTGTGCAAGTTCCCCTGCTTGAAAAACAACAATCCCTTCTTTTCCTTACCAGGTACCTTTAAGCAGCAGAGAAAACATGAGACTACTATTCCACAGCATTTGAATGCAGTCATACTAACACATGAGAAGGCTGAGAGGGGATCTCATCAATGCATATAAATACCCCAAAGACAAGTGTCAGTAGGATGGTGCCAGACTCTTTTCAGTGGTGTCCAGTGACAGGATAAGGAGCAGTGGCCATAAACTAAAACCCAAGAAGCTCCACTTCAACATGAGAAAGAACTTTACATTGAAGGTGGCAGAGCACTGGCACATGATGCCCAGGGAGGTCATGGAGTCTCCCTCTCTGGAGACATTCCAAACCCACCTGGACATGTTCCTATGTCACCTGCTCTAGGTAACACTGCCTCAGCAGGGAGTTGGACTAGATAATCTTTAGAGATCCCTTCCAACCCTAACAATTCTGTGAATCTGTTTTACTGGACCTCTGATGATAAGAAGTATTTCAAACTGCACAATACTGAGAGTTCCAATGCAACTGGAAATCATCAGAAACTCCCTCTGAGGGCCTCCAACACTTATTAAATCACTAATCATTACAAAATTAAAACCAATTTAAAGTACTTCTGCTTGGGCACATCTTCTGTTTCTTCCTCCTCTTTGGTATGTATTCTATTTGCATCATCTGAAGACGCAGGAAATTTTCCTTCTTCCTCTTCCAGCTGCTGTCGTAATAGTGCTACCATCTCTCGATGCTTCTTTGACTTCTCGTGATTCTTCATGCTGCGAAGACCAGATTGTTACTGCAGGTTGCTCTGAGCAAGCATTCTTTTGTTTACATATAAATTAACAACAGGCCCATTATCCACCACTACTAAGTATGGAAATTTCTGCACTGACAATGTCTCTACTGCAAAGACAACACTAACCGTTACGTGAAGTTAAAACGTCTTTAAAACGCATTTTTAGAAAAGTTACCACCCAACACTCCCACCCCCAAATCCCCAACCACAAGCACTTACATTTTCCCAGTTTCAAAAAACTTGTCACAAGCAGGGCAGTACAGACCATCAACAAATTCAGCTTCTTCAGTTTCATCATTCAGTTTGCCTGAAGAGATCAGTGGGGATCAGAGAGACAAAGTCAGATGAGTGATTTTTGAGCAAGCTGCTCTTTAAGCCCCAGCAACTAGTCACAGCACTGACATTCAACTCCTTGAGTATTACTGATGCACAGACGGATCAAGACCACCTCACCAAATCACAGCTTGATGTCTTCTCATGTTTAAGGGAAAACACCAGAGAGGGCCAGACTGTAGCCTGGCAGCCTCAGCGGGAGGCAGAGTTGCACTACAGTCAGAACTGTGACTCTGGGGCTGAAAGTGCAGTGAGCCAACACTCAGGCTGCAGTGACTTAATATAGATCACCTCCCCACATCCCATACCTTCGATGCCTTTTGTGTCCTGCTCTTCTAGTTCATCTACATCATCTGATCCATCTCCAAATTCCTTTTCATACTGTGCCTCCATCTCTTGCAACTCTTTCTCCAGATCTGACATAGTTATCCAGCTCTGCTCTTTATACTGCTCAGCAAGCCTGCAAGTATAATACAGTAACTTCTATAGTGCCCATGAGACGGGAACTACGGATGGGAACTTCTCTGGTATTTCAGGACGAAAGTCGTGAAGCTATTATGACGGAGCAAATGATTGCCTGTAGCGCCTGGAAATCTGAGCACTTAATTTGTGATGTCAATGGGCACATCTGCAAAACGGAGATATTAGCATCGGTGGGTCCTGCCTGAATTTCATGCAGAACATGCTGTGCATGTCAGTATCAAGCACGGTCAGTATCAAGCTGACAGCAAGGAAGCCAGCTTAATCCTGCTGCAAGATACAAACTCACAAACAATACACAACCACAAAGTCCACACATAACACCTTCAATGTGCACTGTGGGAATGTACCAGCACAGTTTTCTCCATCTAAGTGTGGCCCAACTTATCAATTAGTGCATCATAGTACAGCTGAATTTTGCCTCCGTCTTCTAGACTCAGAATTATCAAGCCACTTGTCAGTAAATGCATAATTCTGCTTCACTGTCCCTAACAGGGAGAAATAGGTATAAATTATACATAATATATTCCATATATATTTA